ATTGTATGTCCCTTGTAGTATGAATAAGGCGCTCTCCAGTGCGCCATCTCCACCTTATATTTGGCAATATCCCTCCTGACTGATTCACAAGTCTTCTGACATCATTCATTTGTACTCTGAAACAACAAAGGCCTCGATAAACGTTATCAGGAAGTTCCCCTTTTTCACGTAAATGCACCAACGTCAACAGCTACGTTATCAGGAACAAAACGTTGAACTATCACAGTTTGTTTCGGCGAAATTAGTCGTTGGTTCCCATAAAGAATTGAAGGCGCAGGGGCTATAGGTGTCGCTGAACGGCACAGCCCGTTTTATTGATGGCATATGGCACGATTATTCGGTAAACGGTATAAAACCGATAAAATGAAATAAATCGGCAGCAGGGGTGCTACATAGCGGGAAATGGCGAAAAAAAAGAAGTGAAATGGTCAAAAACCTGCAAAAAGCTTTGTTCTGCACGACTCAGAAAGCAATTTCGGACGAGTTCCCGCTGGCATCGTGCCAATAACCGCTACGGTAGGTACGGCTGCACGTATGTACTCATATATCCATGCAGCACCGCGGCCGCTTCATATCAATCCCTTCGCTTCATATTTTACTTAGCAAATGAAGCAATACGAGCATCAGGTACGGTCGTCCATTTGTGGGCGGGCGGGCGTGGTGGGCGTCGGGTCGGTATGTTGCAGCTTGATAGGGCCTTATAAGGGTACCTTTCTTGGAAAAGGCGCTACGCAGCGCCTGCTCAGGGGTGCGGAATTCCGTCCTGCTAGGCCTTTTAATCCTACTCGTCTTAGGAGTTTATCGTGCCAAATGCTTTTAAAGAGGATCCTTCGAATTAATAGCTGTCATGACGCTCAGTCTGGAATCGTTCCTACCCGTCTACGCACCCCGCCGATGCTCGTATCTCGTGCTCGTAATCGTACACAAAGTATTTAACCTTACTCTTGATTAAGGACGTCACAAAGCCCCTCCTACCCTTCTCGCTGGTGAGCGGTTCCATAGGTCTCACCGGTGCTGTCCAGCGACGGGGGGGGGGGCATTTTTTTTACCTTCACTACCTTACTAGTTCCGTTACACAGGCTGAATCTGTGAACTCTTGTGAAGCTAGAGCAAGCTCGTCTAGCCACCATGGTAGAACCCGCCACCTCTTGTCTTGCCCATGAAAGAGCTCTCCAGATGGCTTGGAGTGCAAATGTCCACCCCCCCCCTTGTCGCCGAACTGCACTGGTCCCACCTAAACGACCAGGTGGCCACGGTTCTTGACGTTAAGGGATTAGATAGCTGTCAAAGCATCCGAATGTTAGCGCTGTTTAAGCATCCGAATGTTCAGAAATTGCGTGGCGAGCAGGTGTATGCGTTTTTCTAGGACTCCCAGCTAAGTGAGCCACTCATCGGCCGTGTGCTCTCCCCCCCCTCCCTCCCCTCCCAACAACTACATTAGTGCCCTTCAACTTTGGGTGAGCTCATTTTATCTGTTCTTTCGAGACTGTTGGACTATGTAGCGCGAGATTTCGCTGATTGTTATACATAAGATTCCCTTCACACAGAGGGGCTATTATTGGCTGAATTCGCCCGAATAATGAACCCAGCGCAATGACCTTCTTTGGGACCAACTTATCCATGGAGAGATTAAGTGGATGAATTGCTAGTTCAGGCGTACTCCCTCGCAAACGGAAATGACGACCTTCACAACACATTCTGCTATCCGCACCCCCTATCGCGTTATTTATCACAATTCTCACTCACCTTTCTCTCACTTTCCTACCACCTTTCCCCAATAGTAGTCTTCTTCTGTATATATATTCAGAAAAAACCCGTGTGAAATATCGCAAATGGCGATGGGAAGCGCATGTCGGCATTCTCCCTTTCAAAGGAACGACCTTGGTGGGTCCCGTGACGATTACCCACGCCGAGACGTCACCCGGTTCGAGAAGCTCTTCGAGCCATCGAAAGAAGTTTGTTTCCTTTGGTTTCACTTTCGCTCAAGAATCGGTTTGAGCCAAGTGAGGTTTTTATTCAAACCATCGTTGAATTGATCATTGGAACTTGTTGTCTTTACTTTTATTTTGTTGTTAAGTGATCGGTTTACTTGGTTGTTTTTTGGGCGTTCATTCTTGTTTGCTCAGTTTACCTCTAGTTTTCTTATTAAATCACTGGATTCACCATTATCCAGCTTGGCCTGAGCAACGCATTTTGCAAAGTTGGAGTTTTTCCATCTCAATTCCTGCTCTGTTTACTTTGAGACGTTCGTCAAGGTATACAGGGTATTTATGGTAGATATACTTTGATTTAAATAAATCATGCGCTGATCTGAAATGTTCAGTCCTTATCTGACAGTTTATTCAACAGCAAAGTAGAAATCCAAAAGTTGATTTTGAGGAAAACACCAACGGTTGAAGGATAATTCGGCGACTTACCAGAGGGAGGGGCATTTTTCACTTTCGCTGCTTCCCATTGTTGGGTTACACGATATCTGTTAACCGGATGTTCTCCCGATATGAAGTTTGAAAGGTGTTTTCTCGTCGCATCTTCTGTTCGAGCACTTTGAGGAAGGAAAATATGGAAGAAGGATGAGAGAAGTTAGAAAGAAAAAGAATGGAGAGAAAAGGGAAGGAGCAGGAAGGCTCCGCGGCTGTCCATTGTACCGAATTGCTCCCTTTAAAATATGAGGACTTGCCTGAGAATTCAGTGAAGCGATCCAACTCCTAGAGTCCGCGTGATACTCGTAGTATAGCACGTGGTCGGCAACGGGTTGAGTTTTATGAAATGAACTTTTGGACTTTCACGTTGCTGTCAAACATTCAGTTACCAACAGGCCTCGCGACAGCCCAACACTTAAATTTTAATATTTGTTCGGTATTTTTGCTTATTGTAGGTAAACAGGGTAACCGTTGATCCGTAATCATGGGTTCAATGGCGCATTTGATGTTCGACGAGTTCGGGCAACCGTTCATCGTTATGCGTGACCAGGAGAAACAGAAACGGCTCACGGGAATTGAAGCTGTCAAGGTTCTTTTATATAACCCTGCTCTTTTTCCTGGTTTAATGTCTTTTGGGGCTTTTCTGTGAATACATGATTCTTTCAGAGTCACATTCTTGCTGCTCGTTCTGTTGCGAACACCCTTCGCACCTCCCTGGGTCCACGAGGTCTTGATAAAATGCTGGTTGGTTTCGTTTTCGGGTTTTATTTTCTTCCCGTATCATTTCTTTTTCATTTTTTGGCAACGTATCCATATTTATGAGGTAAACGGAAATGCCTGTGACAATTCGAAGAGACTGGTACAGAAAAAAACCAAGAGTACTTCCGAGAGTTTCGGCCCATATCTGCGCAGGATGTTTTTGAATGGCCGCTACGTGCTCAGGGGGGGCAGCCTTCTGCGACGTTAAGCCACATGATTTGGGTGCTGTCATGTCAACAGGTCAAGAAGGTGCAGATCAGCAGACTTGACAGAGTTTGAATCTGCCTGAGAATGGCCCCTCCCGAGGCGCATAACGCTTTTAAGTGTTTCAGTAGCGGGATCTACACGGAGTGACGGATTCGTAAGAAGAAATAAAAGAGTACTGTGTGTGGATTTCCATTCATCGTTTCGCAGGACTTTTCGTTCACCTCCTTATCAAGGACTTAACTCCCTGTTCCCTCGCTCGGAGGCGTAGCAGAGCTTTTGAGTAGGAAATTTTCAAATCAGGGTGCGTTCTGTTGGGGAAAATCTTGCAGATTTTCCCAACTTGCCCCTTTTTTGTAGTTTTTTTTTCCAAAACTTGCCAGTTTTTCACTGAAAAACTACCGACCGTCGAGAGTGGGAGCCACGGGTATATAGCGCTCCTGAAATCCGAAAAACGTCAGCAACCGAGAACATTTTCCTTAAAGACAAATGCTACCCCCTCCACCGAACAAATACGATCCCTCTCGCTGAAGACTTCCAAATTACGACGTACCGTGTTCCAAATGAGACGGAATAGTAAAAGCTGCGAACTTTCAAGTTGTAATGTATTCTGCCAAAGAGATTGGTAGGTGGAAGACTCTATTGAACTTGGCCTGACATTTCGACGGGATCGAGGCCTGTCCACCACCACATGAGCGGAACGATGCCACTCGCTGTTAGTTGGTTAGTAAAACTACACTAACACTTTTTACTGAGGACGACAATCCCGTCGAAACGTCAGGCCAAGTTCAATAAAGTCTTCCACCTACCAACCTCTTTGGCAGAATACATTACAACTTGAAAGTTCACAATAATGCCGAGGTTTTATGAAGAGAGAAGCTGAACACTAGTAAAAGCTGCGGTTCTAAAGACTAGAAGCTGGAATAAGATGGAGCTGCGTCATCTGTACGGAACTCGGGTTTTTATTTTGTTCTTTCCAGTTTCAACATACAACCCACTTTGTCATAGTTTTATTGATCAGTTGAAC